GTGCTCAAATTGAGCTCATAATCGTTGTTACCACAGCAGCTCTCCACTCTAATTGCTAATCCTGCGCACAAACACCTATTTGAGGCTCATGCTAGGATAAAGGCAGCAGAATCTCAAAACAAGCTTACAGATTGCCCAGACCAAGCAAACTGGTCATTGTAAACATGTCATATATGTCTCAGCCACAGGGGGAGAGAGGCAACAGCATGTCCTAGTACACATTACTACGTCAGCTTGATGTATAGGCCTAGACCTTGTTCAAACCAGACCAGTGTGTTCCAGAAAAGGATGTTCTGTTCTTATTGAGATCACATATGTGAACATACACATAATTGCATGACATAAATATAACGGCATAAATGTAAAATATTTTATTTGAATTATATATAATTAACCCTAATATTCTGGTCATTTTGACCTGGAGAGGATTTTATTTTTCTCGAGTTAACGTTGAGAGGCGGTTGCACTAAAGGCTTTGGCATGGACCTGGCCAGACTAATCCGATGGCCATCCACCATTTAGACACAGAGAACAGGCACAAAACACTCATCAACTTCCACAATGGCTCCAGACAATAGCAGAGGGAAACAGACCAGGGTCAGACTGGATGGAGCATGTGAACGGATCTTATGGAATTTATTAAATTCAAACAGCATTCTGTTTAAAGGTTCGTTAAATTCATATTTAAACTTGATTAATCCTGATGAAATTAAAGAGGATTTGTCTTTGTTTGCCTTTACGAATGTAACATACATGCACAAACTTGGATTGTAGAATCATCCTGAATTCCTGAAGAATCATCCGCTTCATGTCACTGCATGTCTTTCTCTGCGTGATTCATTACCTCAAAAATCGACAAGTAACATCATATGCATTATTGCTCATGTGAATGTAGGAATTTGACGCTGCCTTGTCGTGAGCTCACACACACCCCAGAGAACAGTGTGTGTGGAGGGGAGGCGGATTGTTGACAGGGACAAAATTAGGGAGGTGGGGGGTTGCAATTTTGGGGAGGGGGTATTTTGGGTGAGAACAGGGTGGGAAAACTGGTAAAAACTGATTCAAGCCGGACTAGGGCAGATATTCTGATACCAAACAACAACAGCATGCAAGTAAGCTCTGCAGCTTTAGCGTGCATGAGAGAGTAAATACTCATTAAATCACTCATCTTCCTCTGAGAGTTTGCACATATGCCAACTCAAATAGAAACCGTCAGGCATGTCATTTCTTATTAGGTTTCTGCAGAGGATTTGTGTTATGCTGTTTAAACTATTGCACTTATTGAATGCCTGTGCTTTAAAGCACAGTTTGTTCCTCCAAAACATTTTTGTCTTTAGCGTATTTATCTCTCATTTTGAAGGTGTATATCAGTAAGTCTTTTCTATAATAAACACTGAATAGAGATAGTTGATGGTGTTGATCATAGGTAATTATTCTTCTCACAGTGCCACACAAAGCAGGAGAGAGTTGATTAGATTTGGCTAAATCACCAGCAATAGAGGGAGGAACATTATGGAAAATCCATGTGATTGGATTTGACAAAAAACAACAAAAAAATCTCTGTCCATCACACTAACGCTGATTAAATATGGTGCTCTCTTATTATGTGCATTAGGTAAGTGACAAACCATCTTTTTAAAATGATCTGATTTAGAGACAATGCTCATGGAAAGTAAATCTGGTGAAGCAAAACAAATGGAATGTATCAATAGTATACAGATAGCTAGGCCTACATTAGCTTGTCAGTGATCCATAATCTGTTTGCATAAACATGGGTTCTTCTTTGTATGCCTGCTATGTGTATGGTATAATACACTACTAAATGTGACCTTAATTGTGTCATCTCACTTCTGTGATAAGTTTGCACCGTTGCTATTCTTATCCTGTGATATCTGACCTCAACAACACCATTTCGTTAAACAGCCTGCAGTCAAACATTCAGTCTACTGTATATGAGGTATCAGATCCCATTTCATGCTCATTCTTTTCCTTACATGGGGGAACATGTTTTTAACAGAGGGTTTAGGATGCTCCCTATCACTGTTTAACAACAAAGGTACAAAAAGATATTTTGCTCTAAAAGCATGGCGGTAGAGAGTCATAAATCTACTTTCTTCCTGTAGATGTCAAAATTAGAAAAAAGGGCAGGGAGGAGCTAAACAGGAGAAACAGGGTGAAACAAGGAGAAAAAGAGATGAAAATGAAACATTAATTTGGCTTCAATCATTTTTTTTTTTTTTGGTGTTGCTATTCTTATCCTGTGATATCTGACCTCAACAACACCATTTCGTTAAACAGCCTGCAGTCAAACATTCAGTCTACTGTATATGAGGTATCAGATCCCATTTCATGCTCATTCTTTTCCTTACATGGGGGAACATGTTTTTAACAGAGGGTTTAGGATGCTCCCTATCACTGTTTAACAACAAAGGTACAAAAAGATATTTTGCTCTAAAAGCATGGCGGTAGAGAGTCATAAATCTACTTTCTTCCTGTAGATGTCAAAATTAGAAAAAAGGGCAGGGAGGAGCTAAACAGGAGAGACAGGGTGAAACAAGGAGAAAAAGAGATGAAAATGAAACATTAATTTGGCTTCAATCATTTTTTATTTTTTTTGAGTCTAAAGTTGTACATAAAAGGGATTTGGGTTAAGAGAATGAAAGGGATCTCTCAACTAACTGAAAAAATAAATAAAATCCCACCACAACTACTAAATAATTTCCTGCTGTCCCATATGGATGATGAGAATTCAAAGAAAATCTCAGGGTTTATTTATCCTTTTAATACTGTTCCTGAATCAGCCTTCAAATGGACGCAATTAAAAGATAGGGCAAACGTCAGACTGCTCTCTGATCAGTGGCAAACAGGTTAATGCTATTGGTACTAAGTCACACAATACTAATTTCCAGCAATGGGGGGCCTTGGTCTTCAACCCAGATTGTGCAGCAGGCTTGCTGTTCAGAATTCTAATCTGTTTCTCCTTTGGAATTTGCTGCTGTAAATTTCCACTGAAAACACTGCAAACAGACTGTCAGCTAGAAAATAAAAATGAATAAGGGTGTAAATACACATTTCCTGGTCTATGCTGATGTTGCTGGTACATGTGTTTCTTGGAAGTGTAAAGATTAGCTTTTTTTGTTTGATCTTTTACTCTTGAGAAGTTGCCATGCTATTCGAATTCAGCCTATGAAGAAGTGTTCAATGTTGCCCTGAATTTAAACTGGAGCTATGGGGACTTGTGGAGACTGGCCTATACTGCCTAAAACTGCTATATTAAGCAAAACTGAAATGGCCAAGAATTGTGATCAGAATATCTTAAACACACTATAAAACGTTGATTATGTGAAATAATAATAATAATAATAATAATAATAATAATAATAAATCTTCTATTCACTTTAACGATGATAAATCTAAAACAAAACATCTTAATGGTCTTGTGGACAAAATGTAAAGTACAGCATGAGACAGAGAAAAACAAGTTGAGGTTAACATTTGCTAAAATGCTAAAATGTTCATTGTCCTTAATCTTATACTGCAGCACAAATGATTTAAAAAAATTATAATCCCAACTCATCTGTTGCTCTCTTTCATTTGAGTTTTCCAATCACTCTTTTAAATGTCCACTAACTAAATGTATCATGCATGTTGTTGTATTGATACAATAAAAATGATTTACCAGTAGCTACATACCATAGCCAGGAGTCAAACTTATTTCAAGTCTCAGTTAGGCTATATGACATGTTGCAATATGGAGAAGAGAACCTCAAGACCTTACACGTGCGAAAATTATTAACAGTTTAATGAATTGGTCCTGAATAGTGAGAATGTTTTTCTCATGCTCCAGTTCAGCGTGAGCTGAACGTGCCAACGTGCCAGCACACTAGCAAGCTATTGAGTGAAAGAGAAGGAGGAGGAGGAGGAGGAGGAGGAGGAGGAGGAGGGCGTGCTGCTCAGATAAGCTATTTAAAGCTGAACGTCCGTGTGCTCAGACCTGAAGCTTTCCATGTTGTCATAGCTGAACGGGTTCAATCATCGCCAGTGAACTGTCAGTGAGTTGGAGAACATTTCAACTATCACTTGGAATCTGAAGAATTCTTTGCTTGACAGTGCCAGTATAAGTGCGTTTCAAAAGAACAAACGGTGAGTCAATTGATTAGACTATTATGCATTAAACTGTACACACTGAATTATACAAATATGACAAATTTAAGGTAAATACTAAATTTGTATAAAGGTTGTTAAACAATCTGCAAGAAAATAGGCTATACTTGTTAAAATAGTTGATCATTTTAACAAGAAAACCTATTAAGCTGTTAGTGAAAATATATGCTTAACATACAATAATTGCAATTGTACTGTAAAACTGCTTTTGTGTATAAATTACCATAGCCTATATAGCTGTAGCCTAAAGTGTAATTGCGTCCAACAGGACAATACACCTTTACAAGTATACATTTGTCAAATTGTGTTTAGTACAAAATATGAATCAACTGTAATTTACAATGAATGCTGCTTATGTAGTATTTTATGCTTTATTTTAAGTTTTTAGGTAGCCTAATCTGTGAAGCATTGTTTGTTTGTTTGTTTAGTGAACACTGCAGCAGTGTATGTTTATTTGTTCTTGCGTAAAGTCAAAATTTAGATTAAAATGAACGTGACCTTGTATTTTATCATCTATTTTACAGGATACCTACAAAATATAGTCAGATGCAAAAAATATCACCCCACAATACATGAAACGTTTTAACACGGTTTTTAAGGCTTTTTAGGCTACATATGAAAGATTTATTTTATTGCGTAGCCAATAACCAATAAATCATTCCACGTATTCTCTATCAGCAAATAGCCTGTAATCTTCAGACGGCAATTTGCTTGTTAGGTTTTCATTCATCACTTGGCACACTGCTTAACAGCAGTGAAGGTGTTGTTAAACTCAGCTGCTCAGGTAGCCTATTTCTGTTTTCGCGTAAAGAGATTTACATTTCTTCTGAACTCTGGCTGATCTCTTGCACCGAGATTTTATGTAACGTACTTTTCTGCGAATGATGCGTTTGGACCACGAATAACCTTGTTGCCTGCATATGGAAATCAAAAGAGATCTTGTAAACATCCTTTCATAATTAAAAATTGATATGCATTTGCCTTCCCCCCCTTTTCCCAGTCACACCACAGCGTGCTCGAGCGTCACGTACTGCACATAGAGAAAGGGTTAGTTCACCCAAAAATGAAAATTAGCTTGTGTTTTACTCACCCTCAAGGCATCCTAGGTGTATATGACTTTCTTCTTTCAGACGAATCCAGTCGAAGTTAGATTAAAAAAATGTTTGATCTTCCAAGCTTTAGAATGGCACTCAGTGGTTGTTACAGTTCATCAGTCCAAAAGAAGTGAAATGAAGTGCATACATCCATAGTAAAACTTGCCACACATGGCTCTGGGGGGTGAATGAAGGACTTCTGTAGCGAATCGATGCATTCTTGTAAGAAACATATCCATATTTAAAACGTTATAACCACTTTTCTGTAGCTTGCACTAACTGTCGTACGCGGAAGCCGTTCGGGGCGGATGACGTAGGACGTATGTGTAGCGCATGCGCCGGTGAGAATATGCTAGTCTCACGAAAACCAACGTTTGTTTACAGGACCAAAGGAAGCAAAGTTTCCTTACGTTAGCAAAGGAAAAGCAGTCATAGATGCCTTGAGGGTGCTTAAATCATGGGCTAATTTTCATTTTTGGGTTAACTAACCCTTTATCATAAAAGTCACTTCTAACACCTTTTAAAGCATCAACACTCAAAATTATGAACTTCTTGCAAGAACTAAATCACATGCAAGCGTCAAAAGTCTATTTTTATTTATTGGACACCAAAAAGGGCCATCAGCCTCTCATAATTATAGTCTTTAGGCCTATATAGCCTAGCATACGCCATGTAAATACTACAACGAAACTGAAAACTAATGATACTGAAAAGAGGTATTATTAATCATTTGGATATTTACCTACAGCTCAGTTTTAGATGTGAAATAAGACCTACAGCATTGATTTGAAGAAGGAACTTAAACAAGTTTGAATTCACAGGTTATCCTTATCTCTTTCAACCATGCTGAAGACTTTAATGAATACACAAGCTTGTTGAGAAAAAGGCACTGTGGTTGAAATGATTGGAAAGGCATGCAGCCTATGCATTGTTGCAATTCACAGTCCACAATTCCAGGAAAAATACTGTGGTGCTCTCAATCAGTGAGAAATGAATCTGACAGCCCTGGTTTGTTTGTTTAACCGAATGTGTGCATAGTGTCTTATTCTCTGAGGCTGGGGATGTAGGAGGAGGTAAAGTGGAATGAAGTGTCGTAACTATAGATTACTTAACTGTTTTAAGCAGCAGTCCTCCAGAGTGTACTTAGCCTATAAGAGACAAAACACAGGCATACTGATACACAAACACATCTCACAGTGTTTGGTAAATGACCTGGAACGGGTCATCACAAGTCTAGATTACATACCCTATAAGGATTTTCTGTGTGTGTGTGTGTGTCTACAAGATCTTGCTTGTAGTACACTTATAAGTGCATGTCTAGATCACTAGTAAACAACTTAGCTCTAAATCATACACTTCTTAACACATAGTTTCTGGGTCTCTGGGCAAGAACCTTGCCAAAAGGTAAACCATGAGGAAAGAAACGGCAACATTTACTCTGTTCTTATGCCTCCTCATCCACTTTTTCCCAAACTGGTTTGGGCATTTTTTCCTACACTTTTCGTCACAAACCGAACACATAAAGAAATAAAGAATGGAATCTTAATTCCCCTGATGAGCGCTTCCACATAAATTATGTTTTGCTTGAGTTATGAAAATTATTGAGAGGAGAGAAGAAGCGAGAGGAATGGTTATGGATAAATGTATAGCATATGATTGGCACAAGTGACGGAAATGTGTGTGTGTGTGTGTGTATTTACTAGAATCAAGGGAAAGTTAATAAGAAAAACATTTGCCTTTGCTTTTTAGTGTCAGTATTGGAAAATATTTTAGACAATGTTCTCCACAAAATCTCAGATGTTCATGGTTTGCTGCAATGACTGATGCAAACCATCTGAGGCAGTATTGAAGGCTATGAAGAGATCATTTTTTCGTCATTTACTAAACACAAATCATTTCATCTGCAGTCTCAAATGGTGACACTTCATGCCTATAATGAAAAGAAGACATTTGCAGAAGCCTGAAAACTTGAAATGAAACTAACTTAAACCAAGCAGTCCCTTCTTATCATTTAGACTCTTTAATTAATCAAGACCTGGAGATATAAATCTACAAATGATCATAAAGCTAAAACTAAAATCAAAGAGCAAAACATATGCTTATAACATGCTATGTTTGCAGGCAGACCTGAACAGATGTTGGTCGAAAATATAAATTTTTCCACAATACAATGAGCTATTCCAACACTTACAAAATTCTCAGCACAACTGATTTGCAAAAGACATTTTTTTCAAAAAAATGTTTGACCATTAGGTACTCAAACATCAGCAGTAGTGCTTTTAGCTTTTAAAAATTAATATTCAGAATTTTGCACGTTTTGTCCTCAGGCAAGTTAATGAAGCTGAACAATAGCATGAGAGAACTCCTCTGATTTATGAGTTCATAACAGAAATAAAAGGGAGGGGATGGGTAGGAACAGACAGGGCCGTCCTTAGCTGACGCGGGGCCCGGTGAGAGGTAGGGAGCGGGGCCCCTCTCGGCCTGTTTGCGTTTGCGTGGGGGGGGGCCCCCTCGGTCCATTCGTCGTGGTGCCCCCTCAAGCACGGGGCCTGGTGCGACCGCACCAGTCGCACTCCCCTAAGGACGGCCCTGGGAACAGAGTGTTATGTATGACAGTGAACGACAGTGGCGTGTGGTGACATGGTTCTGTAACAACAGTTTTACTAACATGCAAACACTCCTTTGTGTTGTGTGTTAATGCGTGAGAGCAACATGTAGTTGGATGGAAAACATGCCCTGATTTTTTTTTCAAATGTTATGACTTGCATTTCAAGTCTGACAACTATGATATCATGACCTATTACACAAGCTTGTAGTTTATGAACCTATCCTACATGCATTGTTTTAATGTACAAACTTTAACCCAAGAATAAATATGCAGGTCGGCCACTAAACATTGGTTTCTGGGGCAGACTGGATTCACAAAGCATATCAGAACAGTGTAAATGCCAAGTCATTAAAAATAAACCATTAACCCTGTATACTACAAACCAAAGGACAGCAAACCTGGGAAAATTTGATAAGAGAAGCACTGGTCACTTCGTCACAAAAAGCTCTTAAGAAGACATGTTTGTATTTGTCTTTGGCTAGGTTTCTGATGAAAATTATCCAAGTCATACACTTAGTAAACCACTCTGTAACCCACATACTCAACAACTGCAGGGCATGAATCACTTCAAACACGAGTTTATAAAGGAATTATGAACAATATGCTTAGCAGCTGTCAAAAGTGATTCATAAACTGCAAGTCGAACTCCCAATACCGCCAACATGGCAAAACTGCCAGCCTCTATCAGGAAGCTTGACCTGGCGTGTAATACCCAGTCAAGGATTTATTAGATCGGATGACTCCGTTCAGTCTACCCACTGACGTCGCTGTATGGGATTAGACTGCAGAGCAGAGGTTTGCACACACAAGGCTGTAATGAGATTATATAGAAGGCTGTACATAAAACCCACGGTCACAGGGAAAATTTCAGGTAACCAATAATCAGAAGAACAAACAACAGCGGTTTTACCTTAATAACCACAGTAGCACTAGAAGGGCAAATAACAATAGACACTTTTGCTAGTTTAGGATTTAGAAATGTTATTTGTGTTATAGAGCAATGTCAGGCCACAGTCGGTTTGTCTAACAGGTGTTTCTCTCATCTTTAGCTCCCTCTGGTGATATGGGTGTAAAAATGCTGCAGTGCTTTCCTTTCTACAGACGCTGCAAGGAGAGGTGCAAAAGACAGTGCCCTCCTGAGACCAGTAAGTAATGTTCTCAGACTTTAGAACTTTTTCAGATAAAGCTAAAAGGTAATTGATAATCTGGCCAAATGATAAATTGGTAGCTGACATCAACATTTCAAGAAGTGAAAACTGTGTCCTCTGTGACATGGTATACTTATTCTCTAATAATGTATATATTTTAAAAAGAAATAGCATATGTATGTTTTCTAAGTGCATTAACATTTTATTTTTTAAATAGTATTTATTTTATGAGGTGTGACAATTATACATGTTTATATTATATTTTTTATGAAGTGAGATTATTGTATTATTTTCTTTTCTGCTTACTCAGCAGTAGCAAGTGAAGAGGTGAAACCTCGGCTGTGTTCCACTACCTCCTGGGGCAGTGAAGGGGACAGCGGCAGCAGTCTGAGTTGCCCACAGGCCTATTTTTCCCACAAGGCTCGGCTCTCACTGAGACACCAGATGGATAGCAACATCAATGCAGTGGATGCCACATACTAACTTTATTCTGCAGGTGGTCCCTGGAGAATCCTTGAAAGTAAACTTCAGATTTACAGCCCCAGTCCAGTTTAAGTCCCTTATTGGAGAGATTTTGCGGGAACATTTGGAACAGGCAGCATGGAAGTTTGCCTCTCCTTGCACGCTTCCATGGACACTCATGAGCATCAGCTGTATGCATTGCAATAACAATGTCAAGATAAGTGTCTGAATTTCGGTACAGCAATGAGTGTAAAATGGTACAGCTGAGTGTAATTTGGTGAAAGGGATGTTTTGAAACACTCTTAAGAGTGATGTTTACATGATAACCAGTAAGTGCTTTTTTCTAGCCTGTAGCATTTGCCCTCCACAGCCTCTGCTATACATGCATCTACGTTATCTCAACTGGATGCTGGTTTTATCTGAGGAGACACTGACATCTTAATGCAACTGAGTTTTTTGAGCCAGATATAAATTTGTTCAGTACACTCTAAAAAATGCTGGGTTAAAAAGGGAGAAACCCAGCGGTTGGGTTGTTTTGACCCAGCGGTTGAGTTCAAAACAACCCAACCGCTGGGTCAAAACAACCCAATAGCTGGGTTTGTCCCTTTTTAACCCAGCATTTTTTAGAGTGTAGGATTTTTGATGAATAGCAGTCTACCTAATAAAATCAACCACGCTTTGCCTTGCAGGTCATAAATTCAGTGTGTACTGTGAAGCAACGGAATGTTTTTTTTTCTTTCACATTAACAGAAAGGAAGTTTTTAAAGCTTATTCTGCTTTCTATGTAAGTGACATTTTCTCTGCCTTGCAGCTGCATCAAGGTCCATAACACAGCTCTAACGTTCATTTCATTTTTATTATGTATATTTTTCAGGGCTTTTTGAAATATGCCCTGACCATAAACCAATTTTGCTTGAGGGGCGTGTTTGGAACAATTCTACAAAATGTGTTTTGTTTCATGGACTTTATGCAAGTTAAACTTGACCAAATAATATTAATATGAAGACGGCCCAGTTTCTAAATCTTTGTAAGGTCTTCTTCTTATTGCATGTATAAAACCAGTCAAAAGAATGGAGATGTTTGTCATGATCCACTCATTGCTGCTGTTCCGACATGTTTGAAAAAAACAGGTTTTACATGCTAATGATGTGTATCTGGACTTCTTCACGTTGTTGTGTGCACATGTATCAACATTAGTTTTTTTAAATGTTAAAAGTGGATTTTTACACTAACCCAGCAAAAGAACAGAATTCACAAGCCACTGTTACACCTTTGAAGTCACAATATGCAAGAGAAGATATTTTTGGTATATTTTGTATGCAATGTGTAAATCAATTTTATGTAAAAAAAAATTATAATTGTAATAAGTAAAAAGACAGTGAACTAAATTATAATAGAATTAAAACAGCACATGTCCTGTTGCTTTCACTGATGACTGTAAAAAAAATAAAAAAACAACTGTTTTTCAAAAAGAAACAAGTATCTTTTTTCATACTATTCTAACAAAAAAAGTTGTCTTTAAAGAACTACCAGTGAAATCCTTAAAGGGGTCCTATTATGCTTTTTCACTTTTTCAGCTTTAGTTAGTCTGTAATGTTGCTGTTTGATCATAAAAAAAGATCTGCAATGTTACAAAGTTCAAAGTCCACTTCAAAAGGAGATATTTTATTTAACAGAAATCACTTTTCAAAAACTACAATGAACGACTCGTTTGGACTACAACGCATATTTTCCGGGATTTGTGATATCACAAATACAGACGAATGGGACGAGACCTGGTTGAGCTGCACTAGAGAAGGCAATGAGTGTTATCACTATGTCGGAGACACGCTAGCTTTCCCAAGGCAGACGAACTTGGTTACAATTGCGCTCAAATTGATTTGCTTTTGAAGCAATATTTACACTGAAGCTTGCAGGCGGCTATGGTAAGGGGATGACATTTCCCGACCAGGTGCAGAGTGCTGCCAATCACAGCACACACTGGCCCAGCTAACCAATCACAACACACACTGACCCAGCTAACCAATCACAACACACACTGACCCAGCTAACCAATCACAGCACACACTGGCCCAGCTAACCAATCACAACACACACTGGCCCAGCTAACCAATCACAGCACATTTCGTATTTCAGAAGGCGGGCCTTCATTTGATACAGGAACTATTCGAGCCGTTCGTGCCAGACTGGGGAGAAAGGTGTTGTAATAATGTAAAATATGTGAACAATAATGTGTTTTTCGAACAACCTAGTATGAGAGCCTGTTCCAGTACACCCCCAAAACAAAATCAAGACTTTGTAAAAGAGCATAATAGGACCCCTTTAAGCAGTCTGTATAGAACGACGACAAAAATGTGGTTAAATGTTTTTATTTTAAAAAGCAAAGTGGTATTAAAGTTTGTTCTTTTACTCGTGAATCCTGCGGCAGAGTTCAACCAATAGCTGTACATTCTCTCACTAGCCCACTCCTCACATGTTTTTAGGTTTGGAGATGACTCCGTCAGGGTAGCGCTTCTTAAAACGTGCAACTACTTCAGGGTCTAAAAGGTGAATACCGTCCAACTGATTACCAAGAGTTATCCTGGAAAACAAAACAGAGTGCGAAAGATCAGAGAAAACAAGCAAGTTAGCAATAAAGAGAACACATCTGATTACCTAAAAGTGCACTTAGTCACGTAAGGGATTTGGAAATCAAAAAAGTTCCTGACCGTCTGACTCACCAGTTAGGCTGCACATTGTGTGGTCTCCCAAACAATTCAATCTTTCGTGTACCTGGTGACAAACGCTCAATCATTCCATAAATTTCATCTGGTTTATGACTAGTGGAGCGGACCTTTTGTGTAGACAGATGACAGATGTTCTTTTAGTGCACTGATCATCACTGACTTTAAATTCATCACTGCTTTATCAGTAATAATGGTTATGACTGACCTCTGCCACTATAACATCACAATCAAGGCCTCTGTTAAAACCTTGTGGGTTTCCTTTTACTCCCACCTCAACAAACAGAGAGAGCGAGAGAGAGAGAGCGAGAGAGAGAGAGAGAGAGAGAGAGAGAGAGAGAGAGAAAGAGAATATAAGTAAGGGATCATGTATATTCACAAAATATTAAGCTGTTTTCAAATGCAATAATAAATGTTTCTTGAGCACCAAATCAGCCTATTAGCATGAAGGGTCAATTCAATTCAATATATGCAGCCTTGGTGACCATAACAGACTATAGTGACCCCAAACTTTTGAACGGTACTGTATATTCTCACACATACCAAGCAATGCTCTTTGCCATGATTCAGCCAATGTCCAGTCCTTCCAGTACGAATGATTCTCTGAAGCTGGTTAGTCTTTACCCAGATAATCTCATCGACACGCTCATAGCTAATTGAGTGACAGAAAACAAAAACATTTAGTTTACTGATTTAGATACATTTAAAGAGATCGCGATCACATTTTCCACATGTAAAATCACCTACCCCCATAAGCTTAGACACTCTCTGCCCAGCTCCATAGCTCTGTGAAGACAGAAAATTAACTATTGTTGACCTGCTGCCAAGACGGCATTACATAACCTCTTTTCAATTTTTCAGATCATTTATTCTTAGATACCTCTTCTTATGGCATGCATATGATAATGGAAAATGTATTCAGACACAGATTTAATCAATTGTGCAGAGTTCAAAGTTGTTAAATGCTTTTGGAAAATGTAACTCTGGATGCAAAATCGTATTACACTTAGATAAAAGGGTCTTAAGAAGCTTTGTGTTCGGTCGCTCCCCAGAGCCCCTACCTTCCTGTCACCCAGAGGAAGAGGAAACCGTCATCCTGCAGAATAGGAATGTTGAGTTTCCTCATCTCGTCGTCTGTGAGTGTTCCATATGGAAGCTCCATGTGAATGTCCCACGGCGGGTCGGCCATCACCACTGCAAACTTCCCCAGGATGGACTCATCCAGATAACGGATGTCACAGCAAATCCACTGAGAAGGGGATAAGGTTAGAGGGCATATATTTGTTGTCTCAAAATAAAAATGCCAATCACAGTTTTAATAAAAATGTGTTTTTGAATATGTAGACAAATACAAGAACAGTGACAGCAAATGTGAGAATGAAAGAAGATTGCTCTGAAAGCAATTACAGGACAGAAACACATCTAGGGCCAGTTATACCAGCTGTACATAAGTTACAACTATTTTTGATGTAAACTTACAAGACTAAGTTACAACTGACACACTACGTTGCACCATTAAACTTAGTTCAAACGTAACTCTACATTTACACTGAATATTAACAGAAGCTTCCAACTAGGTGTAATTACATCAGTAAGCTCTTGTTTAACCCGGCAGACTTCAATCCTTTAGACATAGAGGATAATGTTGACATTTACACTTGCTTATAATTTGAGAGGGAAAACATATGGGAATCATATGTGAACGAGTTACTTTGTTAGCGGTTCTCAACAAACTCAGATTGTATATGTGGGCATCAGTCCATGTTGTGCATGTCAAATAAATCAACCATAATATATGCCATTTCTTATTGATTCTTGTTAATTAAAAATACCTATTACATTATTCATGAGTAAGTATTATTGTATTACAATGGAAATGTATTTATGCATTAGTTACATGAGGCAAAATAAGTTCAAATCAAAGATAAACTGAAATTCACAGCATTGCAACAGAACTTCTGCTCACGTATTTGAAGGCTGCTATTAGATCACTGAGGGTACACGTCATTTGACTACGCATAACTTTCCAGAGCTTACAACCTATTAGCTACATTCTGCCTAAAGAACGAATGGTGCCACCAAATAAAGCACAGAGTTAGTGAGTAAGTCAATTCTAACGATAGTTTACCTGTGAAGGAAACAACTTGCCAACGTTGCTGTCTTCCACAGTGGAGTGCAGTCCAAGCTCAGTGGCCCCTGCCTGGGGCCCCAATGTGTCACCCTCTGCTTCAGGAGGGCTGTCAATCTCATAGTGCACATATTTACAAGTGTCCATGTGGAAACAAGTATTCAGAAAGGAGCAGTCGCCAAGGCTCTCGTCTGTGTGTTTGTTGATGATTCGCCTTAGAAAGTTAAATTATAACATAATTCAACAAATGAAAAATAAGAAATGGCTAAATTATTTGTTGATAATATGTTCAGATAATATTATCATAATCAATAATAAAAAATATTACTGATGATTATTATTACAATTTCTAAATGCATTGAATTTATTTAATACACGAGTTTCACAATTTGAGTTGAATTACTGAAATAAATGAACTTTTCCACGACATTCTAATTTATTGAGATGCACCTGTATATAGTTAATTCATAGACTATTATTATTCTAATTTATAGGCATTTTATATGGCTATTTATTTTAATTACAAATTTTATTATAGTGTCTGTGAACTGACCTGAAGTGCAACTTGGTGCAGGGCTGAGGAGTGTCCCCCGACTGCACACACTCTTCCTTCGTCCCATGATCACAGAACTCCTGTACTTGAGCTCTGCCTCGTGAGCGAAACTTCTCCACA